GATAATACACAACAGTACAAAGGAACCACAGCAACACAAAACAAAACGGTTGGCTCTTAGAAGCAAAATTTTTGAGAAAAAAATCAAGTTACAAAAGAGTATATAATATGTTTATAGTTTTCAGAATCTTAAGAAGCAAAGCTAAGTAATATTGTATGTTGTTTAGGGAGATATGTAAATTTAAAAAACTATTTTAAAAAAAGAAATGGAAATCATAAAATTCAGAATCATGGTTACCACTGAAGGAAGGCAGAATCAGGATAAGGAAAAGTACATAGTTTGATGTAATGAAATTGACAATGTTCAAATTCTTTAATAGGTGGTACAATCAAAGCTTTCCAAAAAAAAAAAGGTTTCCAGTTATCATTATGCTTCATATATAAAAATATATACTACTTAAAAAATGTTAATCTGAAGTATAAATTACCCTTCAAACATACACCCAAAAAAAAGGTTTCCAGTTAGAAAACTAAGTAGCTTTTTGAAACCACAAATTGCCTGCACATATAAAAATTGTTCAACAGCCCCATTTTTAATTATCTCAAATTATTCTGTGGTATTTGTAAAAGACATTTACATGTACATGCATAATGAAACACTTTCAGAAATCTGCTCTTACCAAACCCAAGTCTGTCTTATCATTAAAAAGATTTATTTAAAAAATAAGTATTAATTCTGAAATAAGTAGAAATAATTATCAAACATACGTGCTGAATATTTTATTGTTTTTCTCTAACATAAACTGCAACATATTTTAGTTATCAAATTTGGTTTGATCTATGTCTAAGGAAATTATACCTATGTTCCCCCAAAGAATAAGAAAGTCTAAGGACCATAATCATAATGCACAAAATAATAAGCAACTTAGGAAACGGTGGTAGTAATAGTCTTTGTTTAACAAAGATGATTCATAAATAAATATATTACTGTAGTAAAAGAATTTTGACATCAGAAAAAATTTAGTCCAAAAATCCTGAGGCAACAAAGTATGCCTTCAATCTTCATAGATGACTATGGAAAAGACATTCATTTCCTTTTTGGGGGTATGAAATAGTGACTGTGACAACGTTCAGAAACAGACAAATCACCTGTTTTCAATTCACCAATTATTTCCTGACAAGTACTATGTACCAAATGCTGGGTATTCAAAGGTGAGAAGAAATAGGTGCTAAATAGTGAAACTCATCTACATAGCCTAAAAAATATTATAAAGAGAGAAATTAGACTCATTTCTAGTAAGTGCTGTTACAGACATCAGAACAAAGTCTTGTGATTTCAGAAATCAGAGCAAAGTATTCTTCATTTAGGTTTTCTCCATTTCTATGACTTAACAGAGCTGTCACTCATGTGTCTTCTCCAGAGAAGTATAGAACCTTGGAAAAGACTGCTGTGCTAGGTTCTCAGACTGCCACCTATTATGGGCTGAATTGTGTCCCCAAATTTATATGTTGAAGTCCTAATGCTCAGTACCTCAGAATGTGACTGTATTTGGAGATTAGACCTTTAAAAGAGGTAATTAAGGTAAAATGAGGTCATATGGATGGGCCCTAATCCAATATGACCACTATCTATATAAGAAGAGGCCGGGCGCGGTGGTTCACGCCTATAATCCTAGCACTCTGGGAGGCCAAGGCAGGAGGATCGCTTGAGCTCAGGAGTTCGAGACCAGCCTGAGTAAGTGAGACCCCATCTCTACTAAAAATAGAAAAATTAGCCAGATGTGGTGGTGCTCGCCTGTGGTCCCAACTACTGGGGGTGCTGAGGCAGGAGGATGCCACCGTACTCTACCTGGGGCCAACAGGAGACTCTGTCACCAAAAAAAAAAAAAAAGAGGCAATTAGAAAAAAACACAGAGAGAAGACCATGTGAAGACACCAAAGGTAGATGGCCATCTATAAGCCAAGGAGAGAAGCCTTAGAAGAAACCAACCAACCCCACCAACACCTTGATCTTGAACCTCTAGCCTCCAGAATTGTGAAAAAATAAATGTCCATTGTGTAAGCTTCCCAGTCTGTGGTACTTTGTTACGGTGCCCTAGCAAACTAACACACCCAACCTATCAGAGCCTCGGAGCACGAAGTTCGAATTCAACTTTCTTCTACCTTAAGTTCTATAAGCCTTATCTGCTTTAAAACAAACAAACAAATTCTCTTTAAAAAAGTGATGCATTTATCTTTCCTGAACAAACACTAAGGAAGAAAGCCTAATGGCAAATAGCTAGTTTGGTTCTTTATTGTGTCTTTTTGTCCAGTTCAGTACGTATTTATTGAAATCTTTTATGTACCTAAGATTTGTGCTATCCTGTGACCTAGAAACAAGGACAAGTGGCTGGAGAATAAGGCACACAACGTTAAACAGGGAGAATTTTTGTCTGTCTTACACAAGTGTTTTTGT